AACAGTAACAGTTAGGGAGTAACCCGACTGATCCAGAGTCTCTCGGGACTGTCACGACAGTTAGTGTTGTGTTTGGTACCCCACCCCCGCCGGAGTACCGGTACCCGCCCTCAGCGCCCTGCCCGACGACGACTCGACTTTTACCTATTTCGTCTTCTTTGCGCGGCCCCACGCGACTTTTTGACGTCTGGAATTTTTCTACGACAGAGACCTCTCACCCTACGATTTATAAAGATTTAACTGCCTGGAAAGCAGGCCAGTAGGCGGGGTCGTCCACGACGACGCGGCACTCTGCTGCGCGATAGAAAGAAACGAGTAAGAAAATCATGTACGTGTGTCAAGAAGTGGCGATAGCAAGCGCTCATTAACAAGTCGTAATCGTTCGATTGGCGAAATTAACAAAATGAAAAGAGATTTTAGCTTTTTTGTTGTTATAGGGTTAATCTGAAATAAATTTGGTTACATAGAGTTTGAATACCAAGTAAAGCAACATCTAAACTATCATATCTAAATAAAAAATATTAACAATACAGTTAGTTTCGGAGTTTCGACTAGTGACAACAGGTGAAATCGGCCAGAAAAAATTTACCCTTCAAAAACAGAATCAGGAATGGAAAATTGTGGTCGACGAGAACGTTATTATGTCATGTTCATACTCCTTACTGCACATATTCTTATTTCACATTTCATAGTTTATATTCTAAAATTCATTCATAGCATTCTATTTCCATGTAAATTACTGCTTTATTTAATTTGTATTGCTATTTAACTGTATTTTATTATGGTGTAAAATATTTTTTGTTGCGCCGTGACATCAAGTCAAATTCCTAGTAGGTGCGAACCTACCTGGCAATAAACATGTTTCTGATTCTGATTCTTCTGAATACCTCCCGTTTTGAGCCATGTTTTTAACATCATTCAGCTTTCTTCTTTCTTTAGCTTACTTGCAACGTTCGCTAATCGTTCGCGGGAAGTATTGTCGTCATTAGCAACGCTAATACGCTTTAAATTTGTTTCTAAATCTAAAAACAACAATAGCCAATTAGAACTTATTTAAACCACAGTTTCAATTATCTCAAACTTATGTTCATTCGTTGTAGTATTTTGATAGTATGATTTATCTTTTAATTAATGTTATTCAATCAAGCCTCAAACTGATGGCACTTGTCCCTTTAGCCTGTTTTAAATGGAAGTTGTCTGAGGTCCTTACCACCATCTGCTCTTGCAGTAATAAGTAGTGTACCTTTCTTACTGTCCTAAATGTGCACAATGTAGTGACTGCTTTTCGTCTTTTGTTTACTTAGTTGTGTTTTCTGTATTGTTTACGTCTGTGTTATGTGTAAGAACCGTTGCTGCCTTCTTGGCCAGGTCAGCGTTGTAAATGAGATGTTGTCTCAATGTTTTAATCTGATTTAAATAAAATGTAAAATGTAAAAAAAAAAAAAAAAAAAAAAAATATTTCAGATTCTTCCGCGTACCACTAGCGGGAGCTGGCGTACCACGGTGGTACGCGTACCACAGGTTGAGAACCACTGGTCTAGGATATTGTCATTTAAAGATACCCTGTATCTTGAAGTTACGATGCTACCTTTTTCGTACCTCTTTACTGTAGTACCCCAGACAGCACTTTAGATATAGCTGGCTTAGCTACATTTTATCTGCTGATGAATGTGATGGTTCTAAAAGCTTCAGTTTCATAGATTTCTTCCAAGTGGTGTTTCTTAAAGCTGCTCTTTACTTTTACGCTTCTGGAGGTTTCATGCCAAACACAACAGCATGTATTTAATGAGCTAGAGTCTCTGCATACAAAGATAATTGTGCATAATATGGTTGCAGTACCCACGGGTGACTGAACACAGAATTTAGCTCATGCCTTGTATTCTCCACAGGGTATTTCATACTTTTTTTTCTGAATTGAAAGTTAAGTGTTATAAGGACACTGCACAGAGGTGAGGGGAGGCCGCCTCATCATATTGACCCAATGATTAATCTTCCCTTGCACTGATGTTTTGTGAATTGGGTTTGGGTGTGCTGCAGCTTGTTGTAAGTGACAAGGTGACCCGTGCTGTAGATCACAGTGCTGAACAACTGCTTGGGGACAGGGTCTTGCCCGCCTGACTGGACATCATTTTTCTCCATTTAGCCCCATCTCACACCTGTTATAGGGTGGTCGTCCACATGAATGCTCACGACTCCTCTGGGATAGAGCCATGTTTTCGCTCGCATTGCTCTGTCATTAACTACCGTAGTCAACAGATGTACACCACTTCTCTGCGGGCTTGAAAGGAATTGTTGTTTTTTTGCAAAGGTTTTTTGGCTGTTGTGAATGCCAATTTAGAGATGTGGCCCCTTGGCATTTCTGTCTCTCAGACGCATTGACCTTTGCGGTATCAATGTCTGACACACTTCCTCTGAGGACCAGTATCCAACAAAGACTGACCAGCTATGGGACACTCGTGTGTCGTGCTGCAGGAAAAGTGTTGCTAGGTTGTCGAGGTCTGTTAACAGGGTTAAGTTTTGTTCCAATTGACATTCATGAGTCCATCATCTTTTTTATACTTTACAATGCAGGGTTCAAAATCAATGTAAAACTAAGAAAGCAAAGTGGTGCACGATGAATAGAAATGTAACAATGTGATGCTCTGCTGGTGTTTTGTAATACTTCCCTCTACTTCTGACTTGAATAGGTTGCGACTGATTCCAGTGTGCAAATTCATAACTTCTACTATCTTGCACACTCTTTAATTAAATATTTGCTGCTTTGTGGTTTATTGAAACTGACTTTATTAGAACCTGTCCAGAGAAGTGTAAAGTTGATATATGTATACCAGTATTCACCTTACACAATACATGTATGCTAGGGGTGTTGAAAATAATCGTTTTTACGATGCATTGCGATGCGGACGTGGACGATTCGGTATCGATGCAGTGACGGAAGATAATCGATTATAGCGTAGTAACGTTGCTTCCTGATTTTCCGGCCGCGGCTTTACTATAACGTTTTTTTTTCTGTCACTTTAATATCAAATTGGTCGGTGACGCAGAGATCAGGGAACAGACGTGACAGAGGCACAGCAACACCAAACACGGAGCAGTCTGCTTTATCCACCAACACAAGAACACCAGTCCAGAACCAACAGCAGAAGGACCCGCTCTGAATCACTCCGTGTCGCTGCGGCTCAGAGACACAGGGATTTATGTTTTTCAAAAATAATCGCGTTACAATCATGTCAGGTTTTTGGTGGATTTAATTAAGTCTTGGATTGCAGAGTATGAATGTCCTCTAGCAATTTTCAGACGATATATACGTGTGTAAAGTTTGTGAAGGCAGGAGGAAAAAAGCTTCCGCGATCACCGTCTCCTCTCCGTTCCTACAAACCTCGCCCCCTCCCTGAAAATAATGAGTGACAGGCTGATAGTAACCTGATAGAAACTTTATTATTCACTTAATCACTGAGATATAATGAAGCTAACTTAATCTCATACATTCATGGGATTTATTAACTGTAAGACAGAGAATGTAAGTGTGCACCCACATGCAGTATTTTTGTTTTATATGCTGTAAATACTCCTGTTGTCTGCTGTGTTCAGACTCAAGTCCTGTGTGTGATGCCACATTCAGGACATTCAGTTTCCTTTTTTTAACAGAAGACTGTTGCTAGAAGCTGCAGCTAGACTGCAGAAGCATTATTTTTTTGTTTTTGAGGATGGAACAACTTCACACACAGATATAGGGAGGCTAGACCTATACAATTCATTTATTTTGGTTTATGAATTAATGTCAAGACATTTATGTTATTGATTTCTGAAGCACTTTCTAAATAATAAAAAGAGAGTTCATTATGTATCTATTGATGAAAAATAAGCCATGTGCAGTAATATAGAAAATTGAGGATGCAACGCATTGGTATGAATCGTGATGCATCGTGATGCATCGGGATATCGAATTGAATCGAATCGTTGACAGGATAATCGTAATCGAATCGTGAGACTATTGAAGATGCACAGCCCTAATGTATGCTGTAACCAGGGGCGCCGTCGAGGATTTTGGGCCCAATGAAAAGATATCACATTGGTTACTTAAACATTTTTTTCTTAATGTTCTAAAATTGTTTGGGCCGCTGACAGTCACGGGCCCTTAATTTAAGCGATTTTGACTTTGGTCAAGGTCTGGTTGGCATAATGTTGTGTGTTATTACGACGTGCGTTATACACCCCTTGACCTAAATAATATATCGATGTCGTCCCCGCGGCATTCCCCCACTTTTCAAA